TTAATGTGTCTACAATTGTTGGAGCACTTTTTAGAATTTTGGTATGTTCCAGTAGAGGAACCGTGCCATAATCCTGCAATGCAGGTTTCAAGCAGTAAATTGTTACTCTGTCTTTCAACCTGCCATTTCCACAAGGCTGATGTTAAAAAAAACCCAGAAGTTGTTGAGTTGATCTATCTGTCCCTGCTGAGTACTATGGTGGAGCTATATCCATATTACACAGCTCGAGTTTGAGAGTGAGTAAGTGGAGTGAGTGGCTTAGGCAACAGTCCTGAAGTATGGTAAAGAATTCCTTCCCCTTAACTTCTGAAACCTAATCCCAGTCTTCCAATTTCTGAAACCTAATCCCAGTCTTCCAGCCAGCCACTTCTGCCTCCTTTCCACACAGCACCCATTCTGCTGGTAACTTACAGGAAGGAAGAGCCATAGCAGAGTAGTAGAGCACATGCTTTCCAAGCAAAAGGCTCAGGTTCTGTCTCTAGCATTGCCCAGTGGGGCTGAAAAGGACTCCTTTTGGAACCTTGGAAAGCTTCTGCCTGCCAGTGTAGACAGTGTATAAGCATGAGATAGCTCTTTACATTCCTTGAACTACCTCCCAGATGTTCCTGCTATCCTGGCCAAGGGTCAGGAACAGGGGGAACTGAAGTTCAAGACATCCTGCACCCCACCTCCTCTGGTATAAGCAGTAGTGAGTCTGATGACCACTGTGAGACAGATTTCCACTATCAGTTACTAGAATCAGGTACTAGGCCAAGCTACCTGCAGCCAAGTTGCAAGGACAGAGATCCTTCTTTGGCAGTGGCAGTGAACACTTGTGTAGTGAGAGACAGTACTGCTGATGAGGTGTCCATACAGCCACCTACATGTGTATACTAGTCAATGGCTTTAAAGCCGGAAATCGAGTCTGTATACCTAATTGTAGTTCATCTGAGCATGTATAAACCTCCAGACCACTATCTATGTATACACAGATGTAGATTGAAATGCTTCCATATGTAGAAATAGTCTCCAGATAAAAGGGCTTACTGCTAGGTCATAACTAATCCATCTGAAAAGAATTAAGAGTTACATTAAGAGACCTAATTCTCAACACTTCACTGAAGTTCCTGGTCAGCCTACAATAGTACATGTTTCAAGAATTCTGTATTAATATAGAATATGCTCATTTTTGCATCAAAAGTCAATGTGTTACCTTTAGCAATCCTACCCCAGTTACTGAATGTTCACTAGAAAATGTTAGTATGATATAAATCGCATTGAAATCAATATGAGAAGTTAGTTGTGACAAAAGTTCCAATTATTTTAATTGCATTTAATTTCTTCTGGGTCAGGACGAGAACATTCACTTGGGAAGCCTCTGAAATAAATTCGGTGTGGTACAAGGAGATGCAGCTGGAATTGCGCAGGATTGGGGTGGGGGGGTGGCTAGAACTGGGCTTGTACAAAATTGGATTTTTGTTTACGCTTTTTTTTTTTAGCTACAAGGTTTTTGAATTGCATTCTGACACTGATATATGAGGCAATTTACACCAGTTGTTGTACAGCTTAGTAAAATGCTTTGATTTAGTTGTTTGGCTATCTGTATCTATTAGAAATTGTAGCAGAGCCTTTCTCTTTTTTCTAATGACTGTTTAATCAAAACAATAATGCAGTGCAAAGTAGCCTTTTCCCTTGATGGTGACATCTTATCTTAAGATGGGCTTTGACTTACTCCTGTGAAAATGTTTTATCTTTTGGGATTCTTTACCATTGGAACTATGTAAATATTTCCTCAGTACTTTTTGCATCGCTACTCCATTTGAAGATGTGTATATATAGACTGGCTTACTTCCAGAAAGCCATTGCAGAAATACAGCTGGTGTGGAATTTTGCAAAGTGCGCTCATCTTGCTACTGCTTGGAGCACACTGACTTCAAACGTGCATAAAGTCGTGAGTTCACAGTGTGTGACAGGTGCCATGTCTAATGCCTGGCTAAAGGGCACCCATCGCATTCCAAGAGTCTGTAAGACAACCCGTTGCAATGTCAATGTGGCCTTATAGTCACAGCCACTGCTTGCTTTAGTGAACCGTGACAAATGATTACCAGCTTGACTTCTTTCTTATTTAGTTAAACTGTGAGAAATGACCATATGGCTCTAGTTTCATAATTATTTGGCCATTCCGCTCAGGCTTTTAACTGGCTTATGTTATTATAATTGCTCACAATTAGAGGTCACAAGTAGAGGAATTACATGAAAACACATGAGAATTTAAAACTGATTAATATCAGTAACTTTAATATTAGAACATTTAATTAAAAATCAGCTGGGAAAGCCAATCTAGAGAAAGCTAGTTCTGCATATGGAATCAAAGGTAAATGGGACTGATTTCCTCTGGATTATTGCTTTTGTGTATAATCTATTTCTTTTATTTCCTGCATGCATGATTGGGTCTGATTATCACTAGCCACATAAATACCTCCCATGCAGAGCTACTGCCATAGCAAAGTTCTTGGCAGATTTCTTCTGGCTGAGCTTCTGGTGAAAATATCCAGAGTAATGTGCGAGATAGCCTCAGAACAATTGCCACTGGGGGAAAGCTCTGATTGGTGCCAGTGGACATTTTCTTGCTAAGGTTAATTGTCTTGGGTGGGAGAAGGATTTTCACAGTTATCATGGCTGGGTGGAAAGGCTTAATCCTCTCCTCAGGCTGCATTCTTGAGAACAGTACTTTCCTGCCTGATATTTAATTTTTAAAAGCCATGTTGGAAATGCTAATCATGACATTAATGTAATGTGTAGCAAGCCAGGGCTGGCAAGCTTGTGACCATCCAGATGTCTATCCTCCTATCAGCCCTAGCCAGCATAGCAAATGGTGAGGAATAATGGAGATTGTTAACCAAAACCTAACCTTGGGAGGGGCACACATTGCCCATCCTTGAATTACACATCACTGGGCTTAAGTGAGCATTTAACTAAGAGGTTACAGTGCAGTTATCTGGCTTAGGCATTATATAAATGCATCTTCACTGCTGGAAAGACCCACGGTTTGGTTGCCACCTGGAAAAATGGCCTCTTCCATGCTCAGTAAGGTTCATATTGGAAGAATTAGTCTTGAGAGCCAGTGTGGTGTAGCAGTTAAGAGCATGGGACCCCAGTGGGACTTAGACGATCTGGGTTCTAGTCCCCATTCAGCCATGAAACTGAGTGACTTTGGATCAGTCACAGACTCTCAGCCCAACCTACCTCACAAGCTTGCTGTTGTGAGGGTAAGATCAAAAGGAAAAGAATTATGTAAGCTGATTTGAGTTTCTTGATGGGAAAAAGGTGGGATATAAGTTAATAAAAATTGGTCTTTCTAATATGCAGATCCCAAGCCATAAAGAATTAGTAATCATGTTGAAAACAGCACTTTGAATTGTGTCCAGTGGAGAACTAGTGAGCTGTTTTCAACACCAGCAGGACATGGTATCTGCAAACAGTACCAACCAACTGCCTCATTTGGTATCAATTGAAATTTTCAAATAGTCTTCAGGTATCTCACCCATAACAACCATCCAGCCTTCCCCATCTTGGTACCCTCCAAATGTACTGGACTGGAACTCCCATCATTCCCAGCCATTAAGGATGACGGAAGTGTCAGTCAAACACCTCTGGAGAACAGTAAGGCTGGGGAAACCTGGGCAGGTACACCAATGGTGGTAAACTCCCACTGATATGGGTCTGTGCTTGATAGTTCCCTTGGTTTTTCTTTGCTGAGAGGTAGGCATGCCTGTTTAACGGGAGGGTCCACTGTCTGATGCTATGCCCTATAGGTGCTTTATCTGAACATGCCATATTCACACAGCTGTCTTTCTGAGAATCAGTCAGGACTGCTGTGTTGGCTCTGAAATAGCGTATATCTCATGCTAGTAAAACTTCAGCTGCAAAAATGGGTGGGGGCAGCTGTTTCATTGGTTACCAGTGGCAGATTCTACTAAACCATACATGCTTCCCTCATGGTGGAATAGTGATCTCTGCAGTTTGCTGATATTTTCTGAGTAGGTGTAAAGGAGTCTTTTTTCTGGCACAGACCAGTCACGTGGCTATAATCTGCATGAAGGGGTTGCCCCATCATATCAAGGAAAAGACTGCACCACCACCACCATGCACTGCATGCCTGGCAAAAGCTTCAATTAACCTGCCAGCTAATTGCCTGAAAATGGATCATACACAATTATTTCTGCATCATTACTATTGTCTGCCTATGACTCATTGTGCTGTATATAGCAGATTTTCATTTGAGGGGATTATTTTATTGCTACCAAAGGGGATTTGAGAACAAATGTATTAAATGTCAGATTTTCCTGTCACATTTGTAGCATTAAGACTTTCTTGGTGGTTGAAACCATAGCAGGGTTCAAATATCAGATGAAAGGCATTTCCAGTTATTTCTGTTACTACTGGTTAAATAGTCATAAGTGAAAAAGAAGGGATGTTTTCTACCTCTTTTCTGTACAACTCATATCCACCTATGGCAGCCTAGACTTGGCTGATGAATTTTTCAGTGATTAATTTTTATACATGCCTTCAATACATCTGTGAAATTTGGAATACAGATATCAGAGAATAGTGCTGTCTATTACAATAGGCATTGCTAGTCTTGTGAAATTTTAATGTTGTCCCAAACAATATTTCGTCATTATTCACCATGTAGTTCTCTTTAGAGACATTTAGGATTCTAAGAATTGCATTCTCCCCCTTTCTTTTTTTCTTCCTTTCTTCCCAGAAATGACAACTACAGTACTAGAAGGACAAGATATACTGTTTTCACTAACATTTGTATTATTTTCCTTTAAACTTGTTTGTCAGTTTGTTTTCCATGTCTTTGTTTTGGTTTTCAATAGAAACATTAATTGTAACTTGGTTTTGTTTAGTTACCCATCAGTATATCTAATATACTAGGTATATGGTGAGCCATAGAACTATGTTGCTACCTTTGAATGGAATTCACATTCATAATTATTATGCTTTTGTTGCAGGTTTTGGGCTTTGAAATAGATACTGTGAATTCTGTCCAATTTTCAAATCATACAGGTAAGTGAGAGAGAGAGAGTTTGTGCCCTTGTAGGTATGACCTTTATTCTCTTAAGATACTACCCTAAGTAAATCTTATTAATATCAAAATACTGTCCCGTCATCTCTGACTTATGGCAACCCTATGAATGAACATCCTCCATAATGTTCTGGCCTTGACAAGCCCTGCCCAGTTTTGTAAAAACTTTTTATAAGTATGGAAAGGAATGAGCTCTCAGCAATGAACTAGAAGAACTATGAACTGCTCTGCTGAATCACACCTTAAAATTGTAATATTTTAGAATCAGAATGATCATTATTACTAACTGACATTGGAGTTCATCTAGTCCAAGTTCTGTTTAAAACATACCTTCAGTGTCAGATACGCCCACAACATCCTGGATAGATGGCTATGAATGAAAGCTGTCCATGACAGCCCTGTTCCTTTACGGAGTCAATAGATCTTATATTTGGCCTTCCTTTTCTTTTTCTACCTCCAACATTCCCCAGCATGTTTGTCTTCCTCAGGGGGGTTTGCCTTCTTATAATGTGCCCAAAGTAAGACAATCTCAGTATTGTCATTTTTGCTTCTAGGGAAAGCTCTGGCTTGTTGTTGGTCCTGAATATCTGGTATTCATAGGTGTTCTGTGTCTAGATATGTAAATAGGCTTGCACTGTAAAGTATTGAAATAAGTTGTTTACTAGAAATTCCTAACTTTCCTTTCTGTAAAGGAAGAATGATATCTTTGTTAGCTGTTATCAATTTAGAGACGAATTAGATTTGAAATGTCAATCTTCTTTGTACAGACTGCTGATTTCAGGGATACCTGAGTCTGCCCAGCTTTCTTGTATACTATATCAGGATGTCTACAGAATTTTCCATTTATAATTAAAAAAATAGTTATATGTGTGAGCCATATAAGCAAACTGCAGACAGAGAGATTTTCTCTATGTGGCATTTATTGTGCATTAATCATTTCTCAGTGATAGTTATTCATGGGTTCTTTAGATGAGGTCATGACCCTCCAGTTTGCAACTGTTTTTAAACAAAATTTATTTTTAGAACAGGAAGAATGTGATATGTTTTTTGAAAGCAAAATAAAACACTTTTCTCACTGTTGTCTTTGTGCTATTCTGATACCACAGTGCCACCTAGAAGTTTTTAGCAGAAAAGCAGGAATGGAAACTTATTTGTGTAATGGTCAAATCTTAATTCTGCAACAAAACCAAAAAGATACATAAGGCCCTGTCTACCCTTATGTAGAAGAGACTGTAGTAATAGTTGGGATAAGGCCACATATTTAAGTTTTCTTTTAAAACTACTTCATGTGCACTGGTTGTTGTTGTTGTTATTATTATTTGTTATGTGTTTAATTTCTAAACTGCCCAGTAGCTGAAGCTCACTGAACAGTTTATAACAGCACATTAAAAATCCAATATAAAATGCACCATATTAAAACATCATTAAAAACTTAAGATACAAAATATAAAACCAAATTTAAAGCATACAAAAAAAATCTAGTTCCTAGTTCAAAGGATGTTTTATGTCTCTAGAAGCTGAAAGCTACAGAACTGATTTTAATTAAATTAGTATCGCTGATTAATTGCTAATTTCAGAGCTTAGTTTATTAATACATTTTCTAGACTTCTTAAGTGCATCTTAGTACTGTTTTTCATATTCAAATATAACATGGAATTAGGTATGCGAGTCCATAATACATGCTCAAAATATTTTTCTCCTTTTCAGGGATTATGCAGCATTTCCGTCAAAATCAGGGCTGTGCCAATGAATGTCTGGTGTCCTGATGCTTATTTATATTTATGTGAATATAAATAAGCACCAGGCAGTCTATGTGGAGGCATCCTATTTTATCCCACAAGAATTTTGAGAGAGTTTAGGTTCATAATGGCAAATAAACAGTTATCTGTTACTATAGGCAGGTTCCCCCACACAAATTCACTGCATATTCAAAGGAATTTCATCCAAACTCACTACTTTCTTCCACTTTTAAAACTGATACTGGCAAAAGAAAAAAGAATACTTATTAATAATGCCTTCTTACTGACACCCATTTTTTCCTGCATCTTCCTGTTCTTTGATGAAAAAGAAGACATTGCTTAACTGTTCATGATGCTCAAGAAAATGTTCCTTTTCCTCCTTCTGATATACAGGCAGCATGCCAGGCTGAAGCCCCCAGGGAGCTCTGTTTGCTAAGTTGCCTAGTAAGGAGTATTTACTGTATGATTAGAGTGAGTGAGTCACCTCCAAATGACATTGTGCTTCACGCACGAATAAAAGGAGCTGTCACACAGCCTACGTAGATGCTCTTTTTTATATATAAAAAGAAAGAGAGGCAGGGAGAAACAGTTTCAATTTGTCATGCTCTCTAATATGCAAAATATAAAAGTTGTTGGGGGAGAGGACTTTTAACTGGGGTGGGAGGGAACCTCATGGGCATCTGGCCCATTCTGAATTCAGCAGATTCTATATTAATATACCTGTTTTGTCTGTTTGCTTCCTACCCTTGAAAATGTTCCAGAGTAAGACAGATGTGTGTTTTAGAGGAAAAGACATTGTTCCATTTCACATTCAGAGATGTATTTGGGCCAGGATCTAGAAAGATACTCTGGGGGTGTCTCAGCATGCCATTGGCTCAATAGATGTAAGAGGTTTCATACTTGCTTTGCTTTTCTTGACTGGGCAGGAGGATGGTGACCCGGGAGTGGGACAATCACTTTCTATCATATTGCTATTGTTGGAACACTTTCTACTGAAGTTTAGACTCTCATTGGCCTTTCATTTCTGCAAGGGTGGGGAACAGTGTGCCTGCAGAGGCTAATGGATTCCAGAGGGTTTTGTGGGATTTTCATGCAGGTACAGCTGGTGCTCTTATTGAAGTGCAGGTCACTTTGTGGAATGCAGAAATGAGTTAACATAATGCCACCCACATGCCTGCTCCCTCTGAGAGCCCAAGCAGTTCCTTGGTATACACCAGACCTGAGGGCAATGAAGCAAGAGGAACAGTGGCTTCCATGCAGTTGGAGGAAAGCATATGCCCTCAATTAGATCACACACAGGTTAGAGCTCATTATGAGGCCTACCTATGATGGTGACACTGCAAGGAAGGGACTCTCTTCCACCACCACTGCATCATCTCAGTATAATCCAACAGAGCTCGTGCAAGTGGTTCACGACTGGCTATAATCTGAGCAAGGTTAACTAGGCTACCATTGAAGTAGCCTAAATTGGACCCAGATACTGTCAACAACTGTAGGCCAGTAGCCAGCATCCCCTCCCCTGGCAAGATGCTTGAGCAGGTGATTGCCAGACAACTCCAAATTCTTTTAAATGAAACTGATTATCTCAAACCATTCTGTTAAGGCTTCAGGCCTTGTTTTGGAATGGAAGCTTCCTTGGTCACCCTGTGGGATGCTTTTCGTCAAGAAAAGGAAGTGTGACAAGGGGAGTATGATCCTATTGATTCTGTTGGACTTCTTGGCAGTTTTTAGTACCCTCAACCATGGTATCCTTCTGGGTGGGTTGTTCTGGGTAGGCGGTGGAGGCTACAGTGGTTGTCCTCCTGCTTGAAGGGCTGATTCCAGAAGATGTTGCTGGGCAATTATTGCTCTGTGCCTTGGCAATTATACCATGGGGTGTCATAGGGCTCCATTCTATCCCCTATGCTGTTCCACATATACATGAAACTGTAGTCTCTGCTTGTAAGGCAAAATCTGAATCAATGTCTAGGCACAGTAAAAGAATGAAAGAAGGTCAATAAATTGAGATTCATTCCAGAAGAGTTTGAAATCGATAGTTTGCCTGCCCAGATTAGTGGTAGTCAACTTGTTCTGGAGGGGTTTATGCTCCCCCCAAAAGGTCAGGTTCATAGTTTGGGGTGCTTCTGGATCAAGCACTGTCACTAAAGGCACAGTTGGATGCAGTGGCATGGAGCACCTATTATCAGTTTAGGCTGAGTATATACCAACTGCATCCTTATCTGGACAGGAATTGCCTAGTTACAGTTATCCATTACTGAATTACTGGATTACTGGATTGGCATTTGTGAGAAACATAAGAAATTTAAAAATTCTTGATGTTTTAAAAAAAGCCAGCTTTGGCAAAAGTAGCAAAATCTCCTTTTACATTTGCATCTGAAAGGTCAACTGAAGACACACTGCGGATGAATCACTCAGTCACTGGATGATGAAACTTACATTACTCTCACCATCATGGGCTTAATTGCTGCTGCTCCCCTTCAGGGTCTACTATTTTCTCACTTGACTTACCCTGAGGAACATGGTGGTAGTGACAGCCTTTCTTCCAAATTCTGTCTGTGCTCTGTACTTGGCTTTCTGCCGTTCTCATAGTAAGCCTCATCATCTCTCACGGCATTCGGTACTACCTGTATGCTGATGATGCAGAGAGAGAGTTGTGCAGTGCTGTGTGCCATTCACCATCCTGCTGGGGTGGTTGTGGGAGACGAGCAAGGGAGAAAGTTGGCTGGTGGAGACCAAAACAGTTATTGTTATGGTCTGAGTATTAGCTCACTTCTGTACAGAGTAATAAAACCCCTATTTGGCTCAAAAGAAGCAATCAAGTGTATTACATTTTTGGTAGCAAAGGATGGCTTAGTGCCAAAACAGACATTGTTTTAAATCCAGTCCTACCAGCTACATCTTCTTCCGTGCTTACTGTACTGTACACACAGGGCCCCTGAATCCCCACCACACACATAGATCAGACCGCTGCATTTGCTCTAGGATAAAAATGGCAGGGGGACCATGTAGCTGCTGAATACAGATTTAAAGCAATGCCTGTGTTGGCTCTTTGTGCTGTTACTTATGACCATAAAGTGAGCAGCCTTTAGAGCTATGGGTATTTAGGACCATAAAGTAAGCAGTCTGCATTACACTAGTCAGTGAGGGAGTCTCTGCAGCTGCCAGCTGGGCTTGAATTCTTCAGGCCATAATCAGTGAAAGAAAGATGGGACAATAACAGGATGGAAAATCTCTGTATGGAAATAGAGGAACAGCTGTGCCCACTTCAAAGCATGGTCCTTTTCAGTTCATGTAACTACTTGGGGATCTCTGAAGGAGCAAGCCAGGCAGCAGGGAAGAATCAACTGGCTGGGAAACATTGCTCAGTGCCTTAACAGAGAAAATGTCGAAGGCCAAGAAGCTCATGGACTGTCACTGTAAAACGGCCTAAGGGGAGATGCTGGCTAGCACAATTAGTAACTCTATGGAAAGATGGGAAGATGCAGCAAGAATACCAGCAACTGGTGAGTCATTGGAGGTGTTCACATGACATAGGGTGATGCATCATCCCATCGGGGGTTATTTATTCACACAGAGGTGGTGACACAAGTGGGGTATGTGCAGCTGCCATTTTGAATGTGCAGCTACTGTCACACAATCCTCACACAGCCCACATTCTCCAGGTTTGCACCACATGACAACCTCCAGGTGGGGTTGCATGTACAACTTGCTGCCTGTGGATGCAGTGGCTTGTAACAGATTAAGTAACCCAGGGTGAGCCACACTATATCATCCAAACTGAGTTTCTATTTCAGAGAAAATGTAAGGTGGCCGAAGACTTGGCTCTTGTTGTTCTGTGCTCACACATTTTTCCTCTGCAGTCCCGTATATCCATACCTCCCTTTCCTTTGTTGTTTCCCGGTATCTGTTTTAAATTGTAAGCCTCTCAGGCGAGGGGCTTGCCAAACCTGTTTTTCATAAAGCATTATGTACATAGCTGCTGCTATAATAAACCAAGAAACAAAGACATGATTATCGACTGGAGCAAACCTCCATTCCCTGAGCTTCCTTTCCAGGTCCCTTCAGTTTCTGTTTTATTTTAGGCCAACAAAAAAGCTTATTTTGCTAACCTAAAATAAAATGTGATGATGTATAATGAAGATATTCTTATATTTAGAAGCATCTCTATATTGGTTGTTAAAGAGCTGAAATTAGAGTTTAGCCGAGCAGCATTCTACATATCTGAAAAGATACCAACATTTTAAGAGGTGCCAAGTAGATATCTTCAACAAAAATGTGGAATCTGTGATAGATTATCACCATTTTCTAGATACTGGGGGATGTGATATCATAAAGTATCTGAGCCAAACATTTGGCTGAGCTGATGTGGTCTCCCACCTCCCGCCCTTTCATAACTACTTCTAATAATGAATTTCAGTGATTGAATATAAATGGGACTGGAACTGAAACAGAGCCACCAAGAAAGAAAAGTCACCCAAGATATGTAGAGGTGTATAATATCTTTTAAACCCAAAGACAACTACAATCCAGGTGCTATTGCTCTTGAAAGTATTAGAAATGCAGATTGTACCAAAATCATAAGGCATCCTGTCTTTAATTGTTGAGTGGTTGCTAATATTGACTAAGCTGGGAAGGAAAGATTTGATGATATCCCAGATGAGTGAAGGACATCAAAGTGAGCTCTCTGGACTCTGCAGTTGTCTCTGTGCCTGCTGGTCTACTCCACATTTACATATTACATATATATGGTTCTTTCACTCCCAAAGGTTTGTCTTTACTGGATATGTGTGTTTTGAATATATGTGTATGTTTGCTGATTGGCTTCATGAAGCTAGAAGACAATGGAATCTCAAGAAATAAATGTGCAAAGCTGCTCTCATTGCCTGTCATTGCAGAACTATTTCTTATTGGAAAAAGACTGCTAATTAAGCAGCACTGTCTAAACACAGTGTGCTAAGGAAAATTTAACATGCAAAGCTTACATTTCTCTTTCCTGAGGGCAAAGAACAGGCATTAGAAGCATTGTTTCAAAGATAAAAGATTAGTTGCTGACCTACTTCCTGCTTGCCCAATACCTCCTGTCATTCACAGTGTGATCCTATGTCCTTGAATGCTCTATGGCTGTTCCCTCACACTGCCCTGTGTTTATTTCTAAGTGTTCTTGGCACTGCTTCTGTACATCTTGGAACTCTTGTGCCATCAGAAGCCAACTGCAAATAGCTTCATAGGAAGAGAAAGTGGTTGGATGAATTCTCTAATCAAGCAGGCCGCTTGGTGCCCTCCATCATTTTGGACCATAGCTCTGGTCATCCTTGGCCATTAGCTGTGCTGGCTGGGGCTGATGGGAGTTGTGGTCCAAAACATCTGTTAGGTACCAGGTTGGCTAATCCTGAATAATTTGAATTACGCTTGTTAGCTGATAGCTTTGATCCCTAATAAAGCTTGAGCAACCTTGTTCTTTGGTTTATTTATTATTATTTTTCTGATTCTACATCTGGAAGACCTCAAATGCTATCACAAATTAAATGACAATACTATTAATATTCATTTATTTCCACATCAAAAATAAATTTCCTAGGGCCAGAAAGAAATACTTAAATCTTGCTCTAGCGCTCATACTCATTCACCAACATGAACAGCAACATCCAACATATAAATTCAAATGGATTAACATGGTGATGGTATGGTGGGAATTATTTCCTCTATTCTGTCATTCAGGCATTGCCATTACTGGGATTGCCTAAATAGTACCATCTACACAGTGAAGGGGGTGGGTCTGCACCTGCTTGGGGCAATCTATCCTCTGTGGTAAAATAAGCAATCTTTAAGGGGAAAATACTTAAGTGGGGGAACTCCAGAAACACCCTAAAGAAAACAGAACATACTCATTAGCTATGGAAGGGTGGAGCGATGGAATTGAGTGGCTGAAATGCTGAACAGGGAACATGTCATGTTGCAACATTTTATTGCAGGCCCCACTTGTTTTATATGTAATTACTTTTATTACCTCTCTGTCTTCCTAATTCTAGCCAGACATTCAACTTGTGTCACAATGAATTTGACACTGGTTCTCAACCCAGATATCCACATCAAGACTTAGAAGGACTTTCAGCTCTTCAGTTAGTATTTTTAGACCATATTAATCTTCCTTGAAAATACTTATGTACACACACACACACACACACACACACACATTTTCAACTCTCATCATCCTTTGAGACAGGTGGAAGTGTAAATATTTAAATGTTGACAGCCTAGCAGTTTCAATGAACCATCAGTCAGAGGTAGTAACAAGGGCTGTATGGCATTTCCATTGTAGGTAGCAAGTTTTCCCCTAATATTTTAGCTCCATTTTTTGGAGTTCTCATGATCCTTCCTGAATATTGTAAAATAATTGTTAAGTGAAACCTGTGAATGCAGTTGTCAGATAAGACCATTAACTTTCTTTGGTTTCCTTCTTTATTCAGGCTATGATCACTGGAAGGGACAGGTGTTAAACTCAGATGAACTGCATGAACTGTATGAAGGACTGAAGCTGAACAATGTCAACCATTATGACTATGTACTTACTGGTAAGTACTTTTTATTTTTGTGAAAATCTCATTATGATCACTAAAACATCTGTTCTAGCCTTATTCCTGCTAAAGTTTTAACTGGTTACAGCCAAAAGGGGGAATTAGCTCTAGAGAAGGAGAACTTGATCAAGGATGGTCTTCCCTTGATCTGTTAGTCATGGTTAAAACATAACCTAGGATTATGTTAGAGATGTATTTAAAAGAAAACCTCACTGGGAAGTTGATGATACAATATTTTGCATCCAGAAACGTAATATATAATTTCTTACGAATTAACATGATTTAAACTCACTGCATACATTGCCTCTGTTTTTAGTTTCATTTTTAATACTTCCTTATTGATGTGAATAGGTTGGTTCTAAAACTTAGATGAACTTGATTGTCATAGTGATTTATGTAACTTCCATGAAAATGGAGATGTTTTTGAAGCTAACAAAGATATGAGGAAATGGTAATGATACAAGTCTGCAACCCATAAAGGCTACTCTGCCATGAAGGGTATTGCTGAGCTGATAAATTATTTTCCCCTCTAGTTTCCATGGAGTTCTTGGAGGTAAAAGAGATATTTATTAACAAAGTGAATAAGATTGTACTGATGCAGCAATGAATTTCCAGCACAAACAGATTTCATTCATTTTAAAGACATTTCTAATTCTTCTCCCTGAGAAAGATGTTAGTTTGCAAAATGAAAGAGCTTACATGGTGGCAGTTTTCCTGTCACATGCCACAGCTAACTGGCCACATGCACTACTCTTTGTTACCATCTAACTTTCAGGCTCCTCTAAAGTCTGCACCATAAAAATATTACTCAGTACCTGCATTCTGGCTTATGGGCCAGCTTAATTGCGGAAGGACTAGTTTTCAGGAAGTTGACCCCACTGAAGCACATGTCCATTGACAATTGCATTTTCTGTGCTGCAAACTTAGATTAAATCTTTGGGTGAATCAAGAATCCCTTTACACTTGCATAGCCATATCTAGACGAAGTTTGTTTGGCATACAGTAAAAGGACACCTGATAACTAGGCCATCAGAATTTCCTTGTACTAAGTGCAAAATACTACTACGGATCAACAAATAGATGTAGTAATATATTATTCTCAGTTCATTTACTGCAAACTGTATAGATGATGAGAATACAGTTGCATTGCTTTTAAGGATGTCATAAGACTGCTAATGTAAGATTCAGGTGAGAGTTTCATTTTTGTATACCAGATCAAAGGCGAATGAGCTCTCACAGTCTAGAAAGCAACATCTGAGTCAAAAGGGAGGCAGATTGTAGATTCAGGGAGATTAAGGGTACAGATAGACACAGTGTTGGGATATGTTAAGATTACTTTCTACCCAGAGGGACAATGATAAATATGAGTCCGGAAGTCACATCCATTCTTCTCATAGCAACTGATGAAATAAATCTTTGGGAAGGGCTTCTGTCCGAGGCAAAATGATCAAATATGACAAATCCTTTTTTTGCTCAATGTGACTCATGATCTGGGCTTTGACTAGTTCTACATAGATCCCACCTCTGCAAAGGAAAGAAGTGGGGTAGAATAAAAGGAGGACAAGTTTGGCAATCTTACCTTTTCTGGGTGAGCTGAAGATGGGAACTAGTGCACTTCTGGATTACATATACTCTCTTGGCCTCACTCTGCCTCAGATGTGGTCTCCTGATGCCTGATTGTAAGGCTATGGAAGCTCCCTGCCCCCCTCTAGCCAGCTCACCACCACCCTCTGCCCAGTCTAACTGGCTGCATGAGCCAGACAAGTTCTCCAAGCTGTCAGCATAACAACGCTATCAGAAACTCATAGTGTCATATCACCTTTGGAATGTTTAATCTTGCTGGAATCATCAAATGAAATGGACAAGCAGGGTAGCAATTTTACATTTTCTCAGATACTGAGCTCTGCTTTCAGCCTTGTATTCCAGTTTATCATTTGTTTTGTTTTTTTTAACTGAGCATTAGTGAACTTGGCCTGAGTCCATATGAGAGTTATTTCTACCAAAGAATGAATGAATATATATATGTGTGTGTGTGTGTGTGTGTGTGTGTGTGTGTGCGTGCGCGCGCGCGCGCGCGCGCGCATCCCATGTCTGGGCAACAAGACATTTCAGGGGTTCAAGCATTTATTCAGGGATCCTTTTCCTTAGAAGCAAGTCACTGAAGGTTCATTTATGTGCACATATACATGCACACCCCCTCCCCCCGGGAGAAGCAAAAATGTTTAAAGGGATATTCAGATGACTTATGAGCAAGCTTTGCTCTGCATCAAACTGCCTATATAGGAGTGACCCAATTACATTTTTCTCACAGTTATTCATTACTTTGGAGAGATGGTTTTAGTGAATAATTTACATGTCTAGTGATCATTCTTTGGTGGTGGTGGGGGCAGAGTGGGAAAAAAACCCAAGTACACTTTGCAAGGGACCAGAGGTCTAAGGAGCCCTGGCCCTGGGCTGTGAGTCCGTTAGGATAAGGAAAAATTTGAAGCTAAATTGAAGCTCAAGCTTCATCAATTTTTTTTTTCATATATCTTAACCACAGCAAACAAGGGCATACTTTGTCAGAAACAAAATTTTTGGAAATGGAAACAAAAAATTAGGGGCATGAAAATCTATAAGCTGTTACTCCAAAAAAGAACCTAACTCAGAGCTCTTCAAGTAAATAAGATCTCAACATCACTTTTATAACTTAAACAGAAATATTATGAATTTGGGGGCAGGTGTTCTACAATTTTAACATATGAATTAAAATGCCATAATTTGCTCATTTTAAAGACAACCAAAACTCAGTGATTTGGGGGGGCTAAACAGATTAATAATCACGTCACAGAATTTTATTCAGAATTATACTCTAGTTATAGATGTTGCTTAGATAAATTAATATCTGAAAGATTCACAAATGAAAACATTTTCAGAATTACGCAGAGAGTCTTTGAACACAATCACCTCTGATAAGAAATTGAAGCTGCTCTTCAGAAAGCCAGGAATGGTAAAACTCTGGGTGTTGATACATTTGTTGCAGAATTTTATTAAAAAAGAGAGAGAACTTTTAATACCAAACTTAGTAATATTATTTATCAATGTCTTAAAAGTGGATCAAATTCCAGAGACTTACAAACTCTTCCAGATTATTGTGCTTCCCAAAGTGGGCAAAGACCAACTTAAATAAGTTATATAGACCCATCTCACTGATGAATTTTGATTATAGATTATTGCTGTCTATTATGGCTTCTGTATGTATTTAATTTATTTGTTAGATTTTTATCCTATCCCATTAGCCATAAGTATGCCTTCTAGAAATGAATAAATTTATTTCTCTATATATTCATCCAAATCAATCTGGATTTATTCCATCAAGATGATTATCTAATCCCATTCATAGAATTTTTAATGTTATTCATCATTACTAAAAACTTAAGAAATCTTTAGCTATCCTGTCCTTAGATGCCCAAGAAACATTTGATAATTTAAATTGCCCTTTTTATTTAGGGTGATAGAAAAAAATTAATATGGGTAAGCACTTTATTCAAGTAATCCAGTAATTATATGAAAACTGTCAAGCTCTGATCAGAATGAATAGATTTGATTCAGAAAAAAATGGAATTCACAAAGGTATGGAATGAGTATGTCCATTATCTCAGTATTTGCTCTTGCTTTAGAGCCACTTGCTAATAGGATTCATAATAACTTAGCTATCAGTGGTGCTATAATTCAAGTTACGAGTCATAAAATTAGCTTGTTCACAGACAGCATTGCCCTATTTATAACTAACCCATAAACAGAGGCCTCAGTAATTATGAAAGAACTCACCTGGAGCACTTTCTGGATTAAAAATTAATTTCAGTACATCTGAGGCACTCTGTATAGACATGCCAGAAGAGGAAGATCAATTGCATAAGGAAATTGGTTTAATAACAAAAATCCACATGTTTAAATATTTATGTTTTTATCTCCAGAGATTAAATAAACAAAAAACTGAATTATGATGTCCCTAAAATTTGTTTTTTATCTCAAACATCAATTGAACTACTACAGGAACACTTTTTTAAATGGCAAAAATGTTTAATTCCTATATTTTTAAAGGAGAAAAGCCAAGAGTTGCCAAAAGCATTACATATCAAGATCCTGCTATGGGTAGCCTAGGAGTACCAGATATCAATAAATACCATGATGCATTTCAATTGCACCAACTCCTTCCAATATTGCATAAAGACTTCAATATAGCTTGGGTGTAAATAGAACATCCTTGAGCAATTTTTAAAGTATTTCTTTTTACTGAACACTGATAGTAAGATAGCAACATTACAAAACCCTTTTTGAAATTTATTTTACATATTTTGAATAAATAGTGCAAATTAATGTACCAAATTTCACAACTTAAGTTTTGGTCCATCCCCTATTTTTCCACCCAGATAAAATAGCTCCATTTGCTGTTTGGGAACAATGTGGTTTACATAAGCTGCTAGCTTTCTTTCCGAAGAGCTTGTGTTTAAAGTCTACCAAATACTCCATTTTTTAAAGGTTCCATTGGCTGTACAGCAAGGCAGCTTACACAATTTGAAAGTTACCTCCTTAATTATACCTTGGGCTTCAAAGGAATTGTCTCAAAAATCTATAAATGGCTCCTCAGTGTTGCTAATTATAACCTAACAGGTTTGAGATAGCCTGGGAGTAAGATCTAGGGTAATGATGAAAATTGGCAAAAAAAAATTGGACTGCCCTTCTGCTGAAATCAATCAGCACATACTAGAGAAAGTTCAGTCAAGGTGAACAACAGATAGCATTTCACACCAGTGAAGCTTGCAAGAATTACTAAACGTAACTCCTCCTCATGTTGAAGTGGGGGGAGGAGCCCTAGGTACATACTTTCATCATCGGTGGACATTCCCATCTGCCCATTGCTTTGAGAGAGAGAGATTGAAAATGAAATTAATAAAATCACTGACCTATATAACTATTGTTAAAGGTGCTAAAGGTCTTAACTTGTTCGTGTTCTTGTGGGGTTACCCCCACCCACCCACACTTTGTTTAAGTCACTGTAGCTTTTGTAACTGTTTTAAATCTTGTTTTAAAAACTTAAAAGTCATTTTTAATGAAGTTTTTAATAAAGTGTATTTTATATTGTATTTTAGTGTCCTGTTGTAACTGCCCGGAGACCCTTGGCTGTTTGGTGGTATAGAAAATTAAATAAATCAATACATACCCAATCTCTCCTTTAGAAGAAAGATGTGAATGGAGGGGAGGGAACACTTACATAGAAAACTCTAGGACTTAATAGTTGAGAAACAGAGAAAAATCCCTAAGTGACATGCTCCCTCAAAACAAGTAAGATCCACGATCTACTTACTGGAGGAAGTTCCGGTAAACAGAGAAGTGGAGACGAAGATAAGGTAGCTAGCAAGGAACAGGAGAGTCACACAGGAACCCAAATAATAGCAGCAAGATCAACACTGATAACAGTGTATATAGATGCCAAAATACAGTGGTACCTTGGCTCACGAGCTTAATCCGTTCCGCGACTCTGGTTGTGACCCAAATTGGTTGTGACACAAGTCAAATTTCCCTGTAAGGTTCAATGTAAATAAGGTTAATCTGTTCTGGCCCCTCCAAATGTGGTTGTGAGCCAATTTTTGGTCACGAGCCAAGTCAAATTTCCCCATAAGTTTCAATGTAAATAAGGTTACTCCATTCTGGCCCCTCCGAATGTGGTTGTGAGACAATTTTTGGTCGTGAGCCAAGTCAAATTTCTCCATAAGGTTCAATGTAAAGAAGGTTAATCTATTCTGGCCCCTCCGAATGTGGTTGTGAGCCAGTTTTTGGTCACGAGCCAAGTCAAATTTCCCCATAAGTTTCAATGTAAATAAGGTTACTCCGTTCTGGCCCCTCCGAATGTGGTTGTGAGACAATTTTTGGTCGCGAGCCAAGTCAAATTTCCCCATAAGGTTCAATGTAAAGAAGGTTAATCTATTCTGGCCCCTCCGAATGTGGTTGTGAGCCAATTTTTGGTCACGAGCCAAGTCAAATTTCCCCATAAGGTTCAATGTAAATAAGGTTAATCTGTTCTGTAACTATTTTTTTTAATCAGAAAAATTTGAAACAAAGTGACGAAGAACAGTACAGTGGAGAACACTAACCTAGGTTGGGGGGGAGGTTATTGTTTTGAGGGAGAGTCCCCCTCCATAAGGACACTGGGGAGATCTCTTTCAGGGGTTTCCTCTCTTCTTTGTCTCTTAGCTGCAGGGTCAATTTTGTCTATAATCTATAAAATCTGTCTATAATCACTCGTTTTTTCCTATGCTACATAACCCTCTGGAAATGAGAGACCACATTATCGTTCATCAGATTCAACACTGTTCGTTACAGTTATGTTGTGGTGGTGCTTCTCAAAGAAATCCTGGCACTCATTCCATTTTTTCATAATGGATTGTATCACATCACTGCTAACCTCCTTCCTATCTTCCTCTCCCTCAGTGGAATCCTCCTCAGCAAGTGCCTTCTGCTGCTCACTCTGGAGTTCAGCAAGTTCTTCTATCATCAGCTCCAATATGTCTCCCCTGCATGAAGGCAACTGTGATCGTGGCCATCTCTTCACTTGGTGGGGGGGGGAGATGGCCATGATCGTGGTTGCCACCCAATGGTTGCGACCCAAGTCAAAATTTTCATGAAATTTTTGTTCATGACCTGATTTGGTTGTGAACCAAGGCATTCGTGAGCTGAGGCACCACTGTATATGAAGGCAGCAGGATGCATTGAAGAATTTTCTCCTAAATTCATCTAATTATCTACTAGAAGTTGACAATGAGCAGAGTGTGAGTGTGGGTATTGTGGGTTTGTTTGTTTTCTACAGAAGGCAGTTTGTGGGAATGAGGTAAACCACCCACTCAGCTCATGCTCACTTTATTGTGCAGATTTGTGTATTTCTGAAGTACGATTCACATTGCCTCACAATAAACCCCCAACAGGCTGTGAGATGGTGTGCCCTGCTCCTTTAATGTATCTCTCAGAGATGACATTGAGCTTCTCTACCTGTACTAGAGTCAGGCAGTGCTACACCTGATCTGAATGGCTGTGGTAAGCCAACAGAAACCTTTCCCAATTGCTGCCAAGTGGGAAGAAATTCCTCAGAGCAGATGCAAAATGCTCATACTTCCTTTAACCCACTGTGATTTAGTTAGGGAGGCCAAGTGGTTGGGAGAGTTCATTTTAGTTCCCACATGATTATTCTGCAAGAGCAGGGGGTTCCTGCCATTAATAGATGGCTTGGTTTGCATCCTCCATCTTTCATACTTAAAAACTCAAAAATAGAATAGAGCTATATATGTCTGATAGCTGACTCAGCCAGAGAATGATGTCAAAATGCTTCAGCCAATCTGCATATGTGAATTGGTAAAAAACAATCATACATCCTGGAGACCTATGAAATAGACAGAGTTACTACCTGAGAAGGGGATGGTAAGCAGAAAGCTACTTAGGAACCAGCTGTGGGCAGCTGTATATGAGTATTTATTTATTTATTAGATGTATATCCGTATATCCCACTTTTTTCTTACAAAGAACTCGGCTTGTGTCATTCTCCTCTTCCTGCTCTCAATCTTACCCCCACAACAACAACCCTGTTGGTCTGAGAGTCTGTGACTGGTTGAAAGTCACCCAATTGGCTTCATGGCATGGTGAGGACTAGAACCCAGATAACCTGAGTTCCAGTTCCATGTTCTTAACCACTACACCACACAGGCTCTATTTTTGTTTTGTTCCTTTTGGCTTGTAAAAAAATTTGGCCTATGAGTTCTTTCATATGTTGCAGCTTCTGTAAGAGACAACTATGGGTCTCCTGAAAGAACTGTTAGCATTGAGGCTAACCACTATTTTGTCTTCAAGATTAGATACTATTTCGTTCCATGATGGCTTATTCACCTGAGACATTGATCATAAGCAATTTGTCATAAGCGTAGGTGGAAATTTGGCATGCCATGGGCTAACTTGTTTACTGTGATTATTTTATTTTTCTTCCCCTTCGTTCCTTCCAAGGCTACACAAGAGACAAATCATTTCTTGCAATGGTGGTTGATATTGTTCAAGAGCTAAAACAGCAGAACTCTAATCTAGTGTATGGTAAGTTTCTAACACAAAAGTTATTCACGTCACATTATAGAGTTAGGAAAATTTCTCATTACATGGGCTAGCTGCTCTGATGTTTGTTTATTATTTTAAAAACATTTGTATCCCATCTATATCCCAGACAGATCTCTAGACTGCCCCCCAAAAATGAAACCATAACAGCACATTAGGTGAAACATAATTTTCAATATATAACAATATACAGTAAAAACAGTACTGGGAAAAATGACAATAATGGTGTTGAAGAGATACCTCAGTACTGGAGGCACAGAGTGCCTTGAATTGTAAAAGTATTGAGAAACATGTTACATTCATTGCATAAATAGTGGCTGCCATCCTTAAGCTAGTGAATGAGATCTTAATGGTTCAAAGCACTTTGGCAGATTTATCTATCTATTACTACATTAACAACCCACCCTTTTCCCCCTTGCAAGTAACCCAAAGTTGCTCACATGGTCCTCCTACATTCTGTTTTACTCCAGCTTACTTTGAGAGTCAGCAGCTGAGCCATAGCTATGTGGGGACTGGAGTGTGGATCTCCCATGCTCTAGTTCAACACCAACTGCTATGCCACACTGAGGGTTTTCAGAACTTGCGCTTCGTTCAAGCACTGCTCAGAGAATCTGTTCAGGATGTTGCTGGCCATTTCACTAGCTCTGAGAAGTGTTTCTCTGACATTACAGGGCAGTTAAGTCTACTCTCACTTCCTTGTATAAAACCATTCAAAAACAAACAGACAAACAAACGACACATTCATTTCCCCTTTTTATAGCACTTCTGCTTGCTGAGATTCATTTCCTTCCCTAAGACACTAACATCTTGGTGTAACTATAATAGAGCAGCCTTCCTCAGTGTAGTACTTTCCAGATGTATTGAACTGCAATGGCTGTAATTCTTAACCTGTAGCTGTGACAGCTGGGAATTATGGGACTTGTAGTCCAACCCATCTGGAGAGCACCATATAGGGGAAGGCTGCCATAAATGCTTGAAATGAGACTGTTGTGGCTGTTATTTGTCAGCTATTAATTAAAGTATTAATAAAAGTAATAAAAGTATCCATTTATGGTATTATCTCCCCTACTTTTACAATTTTAATGTTTTCTTTCAGTGTGTGATCCTGTGATGGGTGACAAATGGAGTGGAGAAGGATATATGGTGGGTAATTCATTGCATGCTTGATCCATTTGTACAAACATGTTGTGCCAAAGCAAACCCAGTTTTTCTAAATTTTGCCCTGTGCTGTAAGGAAGTATCTTGTTTAGGTACAGTAGGCTTTCTACTACATGGTCTTTACTAGATAACTGTTAGAACAATGCCAGGAAAGATATCCTTATTCCTTTCTAAAATCACTCCCAGTTTGCTGGAGAAGCTACATAAGAGTTTTCTATTTCTATTGGACATTAGAGATTGGACTAATTTAGAAGAGGAAATGAAAACCCAGTTTGCATATATAGACAGTAAAGTATTGGCTGCTTGAAGTGCCACTGCACAGTGGCAATCCTGCATCAGAAACCAATGGAAAGTGGTTTTTCTTAGTGCTACCACAATCTCTTTCTACACTTGCTGGAATTATGGTGTATGTGTGTATGTTAATGAATGTCCACAATTTGGTTACTATCAGCCCCACATGTGATTGGTGTACTCCCATGCAAATGCTTGAAAAGGAGTGGAATATATCTATGTAAGGGCATTTGCAAAATTAGCTGGCAGTTGTCAGTATCTGTAGGTTAAGTTCACACATGCCGCAATTTTAAAACTATCCTTCATAAAGTGATTTCTCCTAGTGCTGCAATAGTTTGTAGATTTCTGGATTGAAGTGAGGTAGACAACTGCTCATGCATGGGTGTGTATTGAAAGTTTAGAACTTTCTAGAATGAACTAGGCCTGTGAATATCCTCACACCTGCCTGAACTTTCCTAAGCCAAAGTCAATGTTTATTCTTTTCAGTATGTTCCAAAGGATCTCCTTCCAGTCTATAAAGACAAGGTTGTGCCCGTAGCAGATATAATTACACCTAATCAGTTTGAGGCCGAGTAAGTACTATTTTCTCATGAATTCTCAAAGGGTTAGTGTATTTGCCATTAGGATCTAGTTTCTGAAAAACTAAACTCTGAGATAAAGAAAGTAGTCACTTATGTGACAGCAAATGTTCTCTGGTGCATGAGTATAACCAATATCAGGAAACAAATAATCTTTGGTTATATAGATGCTTTGATAATATTTTATGAATATATGGAGGTGGGGCGGGGTGGGGCGGGGGAGAAAACATGCCCCATCTGATTCTCCTCAGGGAACCAGCTGTCTGGAACTACAGAACAGGATATGTATTCTGTGACCTTTAAATAGGTACAGCTAAGGTACTTTAGGGCACAATTCTGGTTCCTCACAAGAGGGAATAAGGCATGATATACATGCAGTGTAGTAATAATAATAATATGAAAACAGCAACAACAAAAGCAGAAAAGGAAAACAATACAGGCATCTCCAATCAATTGTCCCAGGAAGCTATTGTCCTCGTTACTGGGTTCTTTACATGTAGCATTTATCGGATGTTTTTTTATTCTTCAGTCACAGTAGTAAGTGCATTCCAGGGCCTCTCCGATGCTTTCTAAGCTTTTCTGTGGCTTTTTTTTTTCAGAGCAAGGAATATAAGGTATATGAAATATTTATATTTTCAGTGTGGAACAAACTGGAATGAGAGACTTATGCTTTTTTGTAATTTCACTATACAGTAACTATATTGCAAAACCACCTTGTGGTTGAGTAATAGAACATATAGAAAGGCAGAGGGGAAAAAACCCATAACAATCACAAGAAAAGGAGCTGATCTTACAAAGAATCTAGAAACCCACACAGAATCTAGAAGTAGAAGCCTCAGGAAAGTGATGGTCAGAAGCCTCATATAGAAAACCCCTTTATTGCCAGCATGAAGCAGAATTAGCTAGCTATTGCCTAAGAAGCTTCTGTAGTATCCAATTTACACAACAGATCAGTTTAGTTGACTCAGTCTCAGTTTTACATCCACAGGAATCGTACTTATAGAAGCTTAGACTTCTATTGATTAGACAGTACAGAGCCTTCCAGTTCCTCATTCCATTCATTCCTGAACTTTTCAACATCTACTTTACTACATTCCAAAAGACTTTTGTAAACAGCTGTTACAGGCTTAGCTGTTCACAAGGAACCATTTGATTCTGCCAATGGTGCTTTAAGTGCTGAAGCACTCATTGTTGACAACCCTTATTTAGACTCCAATAAATGTTGTAGCTGAATATTCTCCCAATTAGAACTAGACAGTAAATGATAACTAATACGTAATACTAAAATAGTGGAAACCCACCACACAATCCTATTAACTGTTCAAAAGTATCAATCCCATTATCAGTCCAACCCCTCAACATAAAAGGCCATCTCTCAATCTTCAAACTGGATCCTCCATAAAATTAATTTATCATGAGCATACAGATTACAGCTGGTGAAACATTACATCCTAAGTCTCTGTCACTGCTAAAATTGTTAGTGGAGCCATTATTTTCATTTAAACATACCTATAGCATGTTCAGCCAAATAATAATAATTTGACTCCCTGGAGAAATATTAAAAGAAAGTATTGCCTTCCAATTATTAGTACTGGTTAACAAATAAGCTTTATGGTAAGATTTGGAAAATTAAATCCTACTCTGAAATTGACAGCTACATCTTCTTTAATGAAAAATAGGGGAAGGCATCCCCCTTTCCCCAAACAAACTATGAAAAAGTTGCATAATTTTTTGAAAATATGTTTGGGAATATATATGAAAGAATACTATATAATATGTAAATTGCCCATGGCAAAACCTTCATCTTAAGTATAGTGATGTCCATCTTTTCACATAAAGAGACATTTCCATCCCTTATACACTTGTATGCATTTACGAAATTTCTCTAGGCACCAATACACCGTGTTGTTACTGCCATCAAGTCACCTATCATTTATGGCAACTCTCTGAATGAAGGTCCCCCTCATATTCTCAGTGGCACACTTGGTCTCTTCCTTTCATACAGGTTCTACAAGCAGCTCATTTTGCTGTAAATCCAGTTTTGAAAGGATCAGCTCTGAAGAGAAAATGTCAGATTCCTGACTTGTAGAGTCAATTTTCTTGTATAATCCAGAATAACATTTTTGCAAATCTAAATGTATATACTTGGGAATTGTACATATTTTGTTTTTCTTTGTTGTTTTCAACCTTGCTTCTCCTGATATTATTGACCAAACGGCAAAATTACACAAGAGGATTGAGGAGGTATCAGCATCATAGCCCGGCCTGCAGGCTGCTGCTGACAGCTGGTTGGCTATGTCACATCAGATACTGGTCAGCTTCAACTAGCTGCCTTAACACTAAAGTGTACTGGAAAGAACTTGAACGTGAATTCTAGGTTTGGATGTGCAATTCAGATTCCAATTTTGTTAGATGTACAAGTTTGCCTTCACACTATGGTGTTGAATAACAAATTGGTGCTGTGATTTTCATTGCTTTTTGACAGAAAGACATTGTCTAAAGACTGGTGATGATATATTCAAGTGAAATTTAGGAATGTTTTGAGAATTTGTGTTATCGTTTTATCATTCTTCAATGTCCTACGCACTACTTTGAGTAGTCTTTCTTTTAGCAGGAAAAACAGCTTAAAGTACCTAAAGTAAACATAAGATTTTTCATTTTCACTATTTTCATTTCAAGACCACCCAATAACCAGAACATTCTGGGCAGTTTACAACAGCTCATATCAAGTGACTTTTCTTCATCTATTCTATTAATATAATCCATTAATTTACTTGATTCTCAGAAGTAAAAGATGGCACAGAAATAGGTTTAAGAGCTGTCCTTAAATATTTGTGCAAGGATTGATAGAAAAACAACTGAAATTGTCCTTGGGGGCTTTTCAGTAAACCCCAAAGGCTACAGTAACTTTTCTCAAAGGATCCCTCTTTGCTGGACCTTTCATCCCTCCCATGAAGCAGTAATGGAGGCAGAGGATACATCATGATGGCTTGTATGATATACTTGCTATGTGCATGTATTTTGGCAGGGTGAGGTTAGAATATAAGGTTTCTCATAAAGTACACAGTGAAAACCACTATAAATTCTTAACAGAGCCTTGATGACTAAAGTAAATATATTAAATGTGTTATATTCTTTTAGCTTGAAGTAGTTCAGCCAAAGGAAAATATAAATAAATAAATAAATAAATAAATAAATAAATAAGTGAAAATTAAAATATGGACTTTATTTTTTTTTCTGATTTGTAGGCTACTTACAGGCAGGAAGATACACACTGAAAAAGAAGCTATAGAGGTAGGTCTGCTGGAAGACAGATTTCTGCTTTTTTTGTGTCCTTAAGCCCCAGTGAATACATTTTAAAGTAACTTAGTCACCTATGCAATGACATGGGGTAAATAATGCATTGACGCAAATAATAGAGAGATGTTATATGAAAAAGTGGCAGCATGCAGATGCTGCTTTTCATGCAGCCCTCCTTAAAACTGTACTCTTGCACCTTGAAATTGGAGCAGCAATGATTGCATGAATGGTGGAGACCACGGTATTCCTCCGGCAGTGGTATTGGTTCAGGCAATCAGGGCTTTTCCTTGTACAGTTGCCACAGGCCTAATAACATTTCTGCAAGTAACCACATGATAGCTTTTAAAGTATGAACTAGAGCTGTTGCAAAAAGCCACATTTTAATGTGTCATATCTCTTGTTTTGCAGAAACTAGCAACATTTCAGTGGTTTGCTATGAACACAGAATAATGTTTACTTTCAGTTATTAGATTTATTTGTTTGTTATGGAGACAGTTCTACATTGGAAATGGTTACATTACAAAGAAATGCATTCTTTGCTGGAAAGCACAGCTGCAAAAACTGAGTCCCCATCACAGTATTATAACTATATTATATTGCCCTCTAGTGTTTGTATGACTGTATTGTCACAGTAATACTTGAGCATCTAGCATAAAGAACTTCTACCTTGCCATTTTACTGGCTACTGATGCCAGTGGTTTTAAAGAAGTTGCTTACAGTGCAATCCTATACATACCTATTAATAAGTTCTTTTGGGTTCAGCAGGGCTTTCTCCCCAATAAGAATGTATAGGATTGCAACTTAAGGAAATCTGTTACTGCACTTGCATATTTGTTTGGGGCTCTGTTTATTCCACACACTTGATCTGCATGTAAAGCCTTAGCTAATGAGACTGCTTTATCTCAAAAGGAATTTCTTGGCAACTCATGAAATATCTCCATAACATACATATCAGCTACAAAAAAAGATTATTAATAATGCTCTGCCATCACTATGTAGCAGACCACATTGAAGAAATATTAAGCAAGGGGTTCTGAGTTAATTGCTAATTGCTTTTCCACACTCACAAGCATACAATGTACTAGGGATGCGTAGTGAGTTGTTCCTTCAGGCTTTGTGATGAAAGAAGAAAGAGCCAGACTATCATCCAAGACTTCAGGCAGATTCAACTAAAAGGCACAGAGAACAGTGATGCTAAAATAAAATGGCAGCAGTAGAGTATCTCTGCACATTAAAATGCAGCCTGTAAAGAGATTTATCTTAAATTTACTTTCTTGTGGTATGGCTTACAGTAAATTGTTATTACGACTACTGTTCTTATATGCTACAGTGCATAGGGTGCTTTCAGATGAGACTTTTATCCTGTAATTATTCTGCCTTAAAAAAAAATCTATGGGAGATCCAAAAGACATCATCTTCCATTTGTAACCTTGCCATATTTTCCTGTACTGCTACATCTGTGGAAGTCCTGTTTATATCGATGACCATTGGCTTCCAATCTTAAGTTTAGATACGTGTCCTGAGTTTCTGATGAACATGCTGTGTTTAGACAGGATTACTGGACACAGGGGTACAGATATTCCATCAACTGACTGAAATTAATTGCTTCCTGTAGTAAAGCATTTCAACATTAGTTTCACTAATTAAGTTCCGTCCTAATGAAAATCCTGATGCCAAGAATAACAATCACCCCTGACCTTTTGCAGTGTTTCTTTTAGCAAAGCCAATTGAATGTCAGTCCACAGATTACATTTCCCCCAGGGCAGGAAGCATTCCCAACAACTGCTGCTGTTTTTATGCGTACTCTCCTTCTTCTGTGCTCCCAGATCCCCACAGAATACCCCTCCTAACTCTCACTGCTAATTATAATGCCTTATTTGCCATTTGCAAGTCTCATTGATAAAAACAAGCACAAGCTATTAATAAGCAATTTTGAGTATATCTGTTGTCTGGTCACACACTAAAAAATTTATAGAGGAATTTTATACATCAAGCTGCCTGCTTATTTGGTACCAGTCTGAAAGGGAGAAAGAGCTCTTTAAACATGCTAAGATTTCAGCTAAGTACAAAGCAATGTGGCTGTGGTGCCATCTCATTAAAGCACATTCCCATGTCAATTATACTGCGGCATAACACAAGAGGCTTTCATGATCTGAGCACTTTCCTTGTAACAAAGGGCTGAATTCAGCAGACATTCTGAATATTCTCATAAATTTAATCCGAATGACTCTTAGGAGCACATCGGCAGAGAGAGTACATAATGTGCAACCTTGGTCTTTATTTCGATGACCACAGAATAATAGCTTGAGAGCCACAACTAATCATACCAGGAGGAGGAGAATGATGTAAGATCTTTGACTTCTTTAAAAAAGAAAAAAAGATGGGATATAAAATCAAATAAACCCAGTTTTAAACTTGTTTAACATAGCTTTCCCAAGGTAACCCTGAGAAATGCATTACTTAGCCTCATCTCAGCACTGTGTGCATGGCTCTTGAAATGTAAACAAGCAGTATACGCAACACATTTCCCATAATGCATGCAACAGTATACTGAGCTCAGACCTTCCATTTTCCATGCAAACATGCTGTTGCCTTTGGCAGACGGTGCTTCTTTTCTTTCTGATAGAAAAAATTTGTATGAGAGCTTAGTCGATTGCCTGCATGCTTAAATGGTTAAACCAATTTTATTTATTTATTTATTTTTCGATTTATATCCTGCCTTTTTCCTCAAAGGACTCAAGGCAGCTTACATCATTCTCCTCCTCCATCTTATCCCCACAACAACAACCCTGTGAGGTAGGTTGGGCTGAGAGTCTGTGACTGGCCCAAAGTCACCCAGTTGGCTCCATGGCCGAGTGGGGACTCGAACCCAGATCGTCTGAGTCCCAGTCCCATGCTCTTAACCACTACACCACACTGGCTCTCAATGTCATGCTTAAACTGTTAAACCAATGTCACTGGAGTAGCCTGAGAGGAACAATATAAAACAGAGGCTCCCAATAATATTAAAAAAAATGTTTTTAAAAAAAATCTTGTGTGATGCAAATTTAATGTTCAAATGCAGGTGCTTTAAAATATTTTACATTTAATTTGCCATTGTTCCTCAGTCATGCATACGTACTTAGCAGTAACCTTTCTTTTGTACATGGAAAGGTAATGGATATGCTTCACAATATGGGACCAGAAACGGTTGTAATCACCAGCTCAGACCTACAAGCACCTTCAGGAAATGATTACCTGATAGCATTAGGAAGCCACAGGAAAAGTAAGTGCAGTTATTTATTTAATAATTACAACTGCATTTGTTAAAAATGACCGAGAACACTTTCCAGAAAACAGTTTTTTTAATCAAATATAGGCAGACAGATGCAACAATAATGTTACTAGCTTTGTTTACAGATACTACTAATATGTGTGAAATACATTTGTAATGTGGACCAGTACTTTTAGAAATATTCGTGCCGCAATCCTGTACACACTTATTTGGAAGTAAAGGAGCTTCTCTGTGGAAGCATACGGGATTGCACTGTAAAACTCTTAATCTGAATAAATTATGTTGAATTGGCAACAGTTCATTTTGCAATTATAGTAATGCTTTAACAAGCAGCTTCTGAGTGATACATTATCTCATCAACTGCAAAAAGACAAGACTTCATAGACTGTTCATAAGACCAGTAAATGTGCTGGTAGCTGTACATTCAAGAAATAATTGCTGAGTTCCATGACATGACAACCAATAAACCACAGTGAGCTGGCTGCATTGCCGAGTGCCCATGCTGAGCCCAGAGTCTGACAGGCAATCGCTACAGCCGTACCATAAGTTCCGCTTCCAGCCACAGCTGGGGCAATGTGCAGAGGGCTGCTCAAGTCCCCTTGCAGCAGGCAGTCCTCTGCACATTGCCCCAGCTGAGGCTGGAAGTTGAAATCATTGCACTACAGGGCAGGAGATGATGGTGATGGCAGTGATTCCTTAGTTCTTCAAACAAGGGACCTGATTGATCACTCTCACCTTCTGCAGTAGAGGGAGCAGGAGACTGGAGTATCCAGTCCTTCAAACATGGGACAGTACCACTAAGCAATTGCAGGATTCCGGCCACCTGCCCAAGAGGTCTACTCTTCAGCAGCAGCATTGCCCTTGAGGCAGCAGTGCCACCACCAAGTGGATCAGACATCCCCACATCTGTAGAGCAGATCACCAGCTCCTGCCTCTGGCCATCCTTCCTAGCAGCAAGAGCGGTCTGCTCTTCAGCCATTCCGAAGAAAGGCTGTCTTTCTTGGCTTTCCAGAAAGCCTGACACCTCTGGCAGCAGGCTACTTAGGCACTTGGGAGGCTACCGTCAGTGGTGCTCACCTGGCTGTCATCAGTTGTGCTTTATGAACTTCAGCATACACACAGTCCTGCTTATAGTTGTCCAAGGATACTTCCAAAGTTGGACTCCAAAGGTAGTTTGCAGTAATATATATAAAAGAATGACACTAGAAGGATGAGCAACTTGTGGTCCTTAAGTTCTTTTGGCCTACAGTTCCCATCAGCCTCCACAGCATATCCTGTCAGGAAGTATCATGGGAGTGGTAGGCCAAAATTTCTGGCTGAAAGTTTCTCACCACTTCACTAGATAACCTGGCCATAATTGGCACATGAATACTATGTTGCCTGCCTGTAGGCTATCTTGAGATTCCTGTTTTATAATATTTATTGGGATAAATGTGTGTCTGCCTTAACAGCTGCAGCAGATGGTAGTACAGTGACTCAGAGGATCCGAATGGAATCTCCTAAAGTAGATGCTGTCTTTGTTGGAACTGGAGACCTCTTTGCTGCTATGCTCTTGGCCTGGACCCACAAACATCCAGACAATCTTAAGGTATAGATCAATGTTTTCTTTCCATATGCTCACTGTCTCAATGACAGAAAAAATATTCTTGTTTAATTGCTATGAATTCTTAAAGTGCAGATAGCTGTGAAATTAAAAGAAAAGAAGAGAATAGGACACAGGTCAACAAGCTATATAAATGGGGCCACATATAAGAAGAGAATGCATAGCTGCATTTGAACATAACATAATTTAGCCTTAGAAGGATGAGTCTGTTCAAGCCTTGGAGTCAAATGTTCTCTACTTCTAGCACTGCTATGAGGAGGGATTTGGAAGAGTTTGCTTCCTTTTGATTAACTGCAGCTTGCTATGTCTTCCAAACCCAAACAAATTGTGGCTAATCTTAACTACATCTAGTTGAAAGAAGCCAGAATCAAACCATAGTTTAAAATTTTATTTCAGCAAACCATAATTAAGATGAACCATCATGTTCTCATTACCATTGATCAGAATCAGTGATCTGATTCATACAAAATACTAATCTGAGGCAATGACTGTTGAATCCTAGATTGTCATGATGAGCAAACCATGCTGAGAAACCATGGTTTGTTAACTATCAACAATCCAGAAGGAAAATCTATGGTTTGTTGTTGAATTGTGAACTAATGGGTTGTCATAATGTGTTAACTCAGAATGGTGGGTGGTTCATAGGTTATTTTCCCAGGCTATTGAGGTAGCAGGCAAGAGTGCTTTAAAAAAAAGAAAAAAAAAAACCCCAGCCACTCTATGTGCCAAAGCTACAGTGCTCCATTTGGGACACAGAGAAGGAGCTAACAAAGGAGGAAGGGAATGTACAACCTAGGGATTAAAAAACAAAATACTATCTGTTGGATCACCTGCCAGACAAAGCCTGGGTAGGGCAACAAACAATGGGTTAAATAAGCTACCATTGCCAGTACCAATGCTGAACTCTTTTTTCTTTGACTTTCAGGTGGCTTGTGAAAAGACTGTGTCAGCCATGCAGCATGTTTTGCAGAGGACCATCAAGAGTGCAAAGGGTAACCTACTTATGTCATAGTTTATTCATCTACTGCTGTTGGATGGTATATTTATTTAGGAGCCATGGCTCATGGTAGGATACAAGCTTTGAATGCAGAAGGTCCCAGGTTTGGTTTCTGGCTTCTCCAGTGGAAAGGATCAGGTAGCAGGTAATGGGGCTGAGAAGTGAGCCTGAAGTAGTTCTTCTAATAAGAGCCAAATTACTGGGCTAGAGGGACCACAGAGAGCAGCTGCATAGAACTGTGTACAGTTTACACGCAGTTTACACACACAAGTCCACAAGTGTAACAGTATTATAATTCTGTTGTTGTTGTTTAATAATTTTCTAGACCACATTGCAGGTTAAAACCTTCACAATGTGGATTACAACATACTTAAAAAGAAATAATCAAGTTATGAAAACAATAATATTCAATGCATGAAGAACAAACAAAATAGCACAGAAGGTGTCTACCTCAGTTAAGTGTCGAGTACACTAAACCAAGTAAAATGCAAACTGTGATATATGTATCTTTAAAACTGTCCTAAAGGCCAGGGGGTTAACTGAACTTATTGGAAAAGTTGGGGGACATTTGATTGTGGCCATTGGCAATTTGCTATTTGAGGTGCTTTTTAACATCTATGTGAAATTAATGGGGAAAGTCTTCAGGTGGTCTGGACCAACATGTCATCAGTATGCAGATGACAGGCAGCTCTATCTCTTTCCAGCAGAACGACAGTTGGAACCCTGTGTTCGGGAAGGTATTGGAATGGATGGAGGATAATAATCTGAACCTGAAATTTTGATAAATGACAGTACTGTAGCTTGGAGAATCTGCTGATCTGGAGTGTTAGATCTGATTCTGGATAGGAAGGGCCAAAGATGGCATCTGGAATCCCTGCTCTTGGAAGCAGTGTTTACCATTTACCAGCTGAAGCCCTATCTAAAGAAAGCTGACCTAGCCGCAGTGGCACATGCCTTTCTTACATCCAGATCAGCTTACCGTAATGAGAATGATTCAGAAACTTCAAAAGGTACAGACATGGACCAACTAGAAGGCTTATGAGAACTAGATATTCAGATCATATTACTTCTATTCCATATCATTTATACTGACTGTTTGCTAGTTTCTGCTTCCAATTCAAGGTATTGGTTTTGGTCTTTAAAACCCTAAACTGTTTGGTTCAATATCTGAAGAACCAGCTACATTTGTATGAACCTGCCCAAGCATTAAAATCAGTGTCAGAAGCCCTATTCTGTGGCTCAGCAATAAGAACTATGAGGCCACTGGATTACTGTGGTCAGGGCTTTCTCAGTGTTGGCCACACATGAAATTCCCTCCCCAGGAGGATATGTATGGCCTCATCACTGCTGGCTTAAAAACACACCCCAAATCCCTGTATTTATTTCAGACTACATCTGGTGCTTAAAAGACATTTGTTGCTGCTATGTAAGAGCTTATCTGTAATTTATCTGTTCATGCTTTTGTAAAATTGTAAATTATCTTGCCAGGGCAGTATACCCAGCAAGCAGAGTTAAATCTTTTAATTCAGTACATTCCAAAGATGTGTGGCCACTACAGGAAAGGTTGTGTCCCTTGTACTCATTAATCCAGACTTCTTCAACATGATGCCCCCAAAGAATGTTATGGACTCCAGCTCCCATGAGATTTAACCAGTATGGCCAGTGGTCATGGCTGATGTGAACTGTAGTCCAACACATCTGGAAGGCAAAGAATTGGACAAGTCTATACTAAGCACATGTGTTTCATTGATGGATCAGAGTTCTTAACATTGTAGTAGAACTGGGAGCAAAACATCTTAAGGTGGTGAGGAGAGGGAGAATAAGTTTTTCTTCTACATTGCTTCTCTTTAATATTAAACATCCATTTAAGTGCCCATTTAATCCAAGCATTTGAGTGTCTTGTTGTTTCTTTGTTTTTAAGCCCAAGCTGGAGAAGGAAACAAGCCTAATTCAGCCCAGCTGGAACTGAGGATGGTCCAAAGCAAAAAGGACATAGAAAACCCAGAGATAATAATTAAAGCTACTGTGTTATAAAGGTTGTATATCTTTTAACGACGCACAATGTATTGATGTCCTCATTTTCTTTCCTGTAAATTGTAATGTTTGCCTTAGATTTGTGACAGAAACCTGACTTCCATGAAATAGTGCCCAGCATAGTTGAGATCCACTTCCAAGCACTTGTGCTGGCCTTGCTTGAATTAAGAAGAAAATAAAGTTAGGTGTGTATTACATCTCCCTCCCAGGTATGAAAATGGCTGTCAGATTAATTCAGCCCTGTTTTAAATCCTGGGTGAGGAAGCACAAGATTTCCTGCCTTGCCAAAGACTTTCAGAATGCATTTGTTAGTAGAATGATTGTCTGGAGTGTATAAACTGTGGTAAAGCATCTTGTGCCAATTGGGTAGGTTACCTTTTCCCTTAAACGAAGAGGTTTGGTAGCCTGCTACAATATTCAGTACCTCAACCACTCTGGAACAAAACAGAACAAAACGAAAAAAGCAGAGGGTGATTTGGCCATCGTGTGGGGAGGGGCTCCACAGGCAAGTCAGCCTCTCAGTGCTCTGCATAGGCTTGGAGGGAGAACAGCATGTAGTGAGAACTGCTCCCTTTTCTGGTCTGCGAATAAATGCAAGACTCCACCATCCAGAGGTGCTAATCCTTTGATATCAAACAACCCAAAGTATCCCAACATGTCACATTCTCTTTGTTTGTTTCCCCTTCCATTAAAAGTGCAGAAGAGTAAAAGACAATGGTGATTCTACCTCTGACAGAATACGCTTGACTCGGTTTTATCAAAAGACTTGCAAAATGCAAGTTGCTTAATAAGCATTTGTTACTAAATCAGAATATCCCAGTTCATCTGCTAATGGCTAGAAGGGAAATGAAAGCCAGTATGTTATTTGTTGAGACCAATTCACTGTTTATGACTGCTGGTTAGCTTGCTTCAGTTGCATGGAATGAACGATGAGGTGAAACACCATCTGATCGATAGCTCAGTAAGACATGTACTTCTCCCAAGGCACAACACACAAAGCATTGCTGCTGTACAACCACAATGCCTTTCGAAAATACTTGTGCGGGAATCTCATGCAAGCTGAGTAGAAATAAATACAGGTTATCCTTTAGTAGTGCTCGGGTATTACATCCAATTTGTAAGCATTGATATGGGTTTATCAATGTTACAGCACAATTTTCATGGATTTTGTAGAATTACTGTTAAAAGTTCCACTCTCAAAAAACAGATGATTTGTGTGCAATCCATGAAACTTAAATATGCTTAAATGCCTTGGAATGAACAGGAAGCCCTGGATTCTGTTCCATGCAATAATCTGTTTTAATTTAGTAAAATAATTTTGATTCTTTTTAGAGATGAAAATATATTTGTCTCACAACCATGCATATTAAGTTTAATCAGAAATGTAATCTTATTAGTCCTGTCACTCTCCCACTCCTTGAAATTCTTTTCAGTTTGTTCTGTTTGCTTGTGTTTTCCACATATAGTATGGATAAGCTAACAATCTGTGCTCTTTTTTTCTTGAGATAAAACAGGGTATCAAAGCAATCCATGATCCCTAGCTCTTTGTAAACACGTAAGGTAGTGTTACTTCCTTCTTCCTTGCAAATAACCAGGGTATTTTCATCATTTTTGTTAGATCATCATTTTCTTGGACCTCTCTAGAAAATGGGATTCCTGCAAAAGTGCTACCATTAACACTTGTGACTCTTGAAGCCCCAACGTGCAGAATGTGGATTCTGTTGTTAGAATTGTAAGAGTTCTCTCTTTCATTTATTTAAAACACCTAGTTTTTAACTTAATCCTCATGGTTGTTGATGCAGGTCTGATGGTCAGCTCTTCTTGTGGTCCTAAGTATCAGGCATGCTTCCCACCTTTGCTTTATATTAGGGATGTGCCTGTCAAGGATTTTCCCTTAGAAAAGTTTTTTTCCACTAGTTTCAGATAAACATGATGGATGTGGGGGGATATATTTACAGGGTATGAAAGGATTCTTCAAGCCAGGAACAGCTGACAGGTGTTTACATTGTCTAGCCCCTTGCCTGCAGAGTGAATTGAAGTGTAAATTAAACTAGCACAGCATTGATATTTTTCAGAAAATACATTGGTCAAGCATCCCTTACAAGTTCAACCGCATCCTTCCAAAACAGACCTTTTCTAGACAAGTCTTTTATTTTGTGTTTACCATTCCTCACTCATGGTGCTTTAGATAAAATGGTTCCCCTCCCATTTTACATCTGTATTTTAAAAGCACTTCATTGGGATGGAGAGTGACTGGTGGCAGGAAAAATCCATATTTTGGGGCATTGCAAAGCAAACTAAAATTACCACTGATTATTAATGCATTGTTCTGCTATACCAAGTGCCACCTACAAGTAATACAGTCTTGCTACCATAGAAAACAATTCCTGGGGTGTTTTTTGGAAGCCTAACATCATAGTGAGACCTACTTTTTCCTGTTCATATTGTTCATAATTAATTTCAGACTCAATTGAAACCTATTTCTTGAACCTTACTGTTTTTAACAGCTTTGAAGAAAATAGTGGCCATAATTTTAGCAAAACTGAGTAAAATAAATACTGTAAATATTCACAAAATGATTTAAAAAATTTCCTGGGTTTTCTACAGTTTGTCAGCTCTGACATATCCTGCAGTTTAAAACAACAACAACAACAACATCCAGTCTATTTAAATATGGGGAATAATATAACATTAATTTGCCAAACACTGCTGCAACTATCTTTAGCCATGATCCTTGTGAAATAACATTTAAGCAGTAGAAATGTGTGTGGTATGATAAAGCTTTTCCATATGCTGCTGCTTCCAATGATGATGAAGATGACTTCTAGAGCAGCTGTAAACAACTATGGGTGAAGAATGGTGAACACACAATAAAAGCCTCATTTAGAGAAGCTCCCAGTCTCCCATTGCATGAGATTCCTGCCCTGTCATGTTTATAGAGCTAAAGAAAACAGTCTCTTAGATCAACAGCTGCAATTTTTGCTTAGTATTAACTTTTCTAGTTTCATACAATGTACACTACCATTTATTAAGAACAACATTCAATATTAGGGATAGTTTGAATTGGAGAGATGTAACTGTTGAGCAAAACATAGCTGCACTGAGAGACTTCCAAAACACGAATGCATTATGTCTGTCAACTGCATGCAGTCATTTAATGGCAGCTCAGAACACTCCAAGGATTAGTTTCATTTTACTTACCACATTCCATAACAGTTCTAGCCATTCGAGAAGCTTGGAAATAAACTGTCACAATCACTGCTTGCCTTCTTTATGATTGGAAGTGTGGTAGTGGTACAACACCAGTAAACTGGCAGCAATAGAATATTCAGGTTCTTCATGTCTCACAGGAAAACAAATCTCTTGAAAGCTATTTGCTATCAGTTGAGCTTTCTTGGACTGGATTAATTAAGCTCCTTCAGCATCATCTCCTTCAGTCTGTTAGGACTACAGTATGTTCAACACAATTGAACATATGGAAAGTGACAATAAACAGTTCAATTACAAATCTTTTTAAAACAAATAAAGTAATGAAGGATTAATTTTTCGTTAGCAATTTATTTTTATATATGACACCTTTGCAGATGCCTTTTCCCATAGAATAATGGCAATGACTGTAACCTGAACCAGGAGTTCAGTTAGATTGGAGAAAAGCAAAACAATCCCTCTTAGAGAAAAGAAAAGCAATTCTGTCCCCCAAATCAACCTCAGACTTGTAGCATAAGTTGGACAAATGGCCAATTAAATATGCTTAGGGAAAAATGCAACTTTTTAAAAATTGTAAGCTTTCTTGAGATAAATATCATTGATCTTGATTTTTGAATGCATTCTGACTGATTTTTATCACTCCCTGATTTTGAGTGAGGTCTGTGCTGTTACCACTATAGAGTCATTAAAGAAAACTTTTTTAATTTTATAATGTTATTGTAATCTATTTATAATTGCTGTAGTATTTGAGACATGTAATATGCTTTAAGCATCACTTATTTCTTTATTTCTCTCCCCAGACAAGAATTTGCATAAACTTAGATTATCTATCAAATACTTCCCTTTTATCTGGGTTTTTTTTCCGATGTAAAAGCGCGCACTCTCACACACACACACACACACACACACACATTCCAAAAAAATTTTTTTTCATCCATGATGCATAGGCTAGACCTGGGCTAGCTATCCCAGAGAACCAAGCTGAAAACAAAACAGATGAGTTAAAATAGATCACTGTTTGACTATAATGGTGGCATGGGCGTAAACATCCTGGCAGATAGTACTAAGTTAAGTAAATACTACAGTGGTTTTTTATTGTCTTAACAAAATGGAAAGCTTGTGTTACCATATATTGTAGCTCATGTGTGTTTTAATTCAATTTTGTGAATATCTTTTCAGTGTACCTGTGCAGCTGTTTTTGATTATTGTGGTTTCAATTCTTTGTGGGGCATAAGGGCCTAACTTCATATTACATGCAAATGCATGTAAAGGAGTTCTGATGGCATTCGTATTTAAAGAAGAATGGCTTTCAGAGGAGGTGATTTGAGCACAGAAATGGTGGACAGCAAGAGAAAAGAGTTTGGTACTCCCCTCCACTGCTTCACTCAAAATCATGTCTTTCTGATGCTAATTTTCTTTAAAAATGTATAGCAATGAGCATCTGTACAGCATTTGCATATAATGTATAATTAGCCCCTAGCAGGACCAAAACTCATGTAAAATGACGTATCTTCTGAGCTTAAATCCAGCTTTTATGTACCATAACTCTTTCTGACATCCTTGCACATAATGACGTTTAGGGAAATAAATAGAAATTGTTGTTTGTGAAATTTTATTCACTCTTGCTTTTAACATGCTTTTAAGGAGCATATATATTGAAAACGATTAAGTTTTAGGTATTTATTTGCCAAATTGCATTCAAAATGCAAGAAATCTGTAATCAGCGCAATACTTAAAGAATTTAGAGGACCAAGATTTCTAGCTAAAGATACTGCCTTGTTAAGAGTAACCTTATACGTATCTTGATTGGATGGTGTTAATTCATTGTCTGTCTGGTACTGTTGCAGTGATTGTACTAGTCTCTTAATTTACAATATGTGGCAAGAAAGATTGTAATAAACTATCTATGTTTAATAACACTGTGCATAACTATGTTTAGATTTTGTTTTTAATATGTTGAGCCACTTCAGAATTAAACAAAACAGTAACAGTTTGGTAGTGTTACTGAATCAGGTGGCCTTTTATATTAAGGTTTTATCCTTAGTTGATGTGAACTCTTGTTGACCGAGGGGCAGAACTCACACAAGAAAATCAAGAAGCACCAAAAGAAAGTTCATACAAATGGCCAAAACTGCCCTGGAGTGAGCATCTTCACTCTGAAGTCCCTTGGTCATCTGTATCAGGCAATCAAGGCAATCAAGGCAACACACATCAAGTACAGGCAAATTGGGTGGTAGAATACATGACAAAATGGTTGTCTATGTGCATGGCAAAATTCATACTTTGACAAAGACACGTTGAGAGGTCTTCTTCTGGAACATTAATATATCAGAGATGGGAATTAGTTAGGCAACAGGTTTTAATTCTCTTTCAGGGAATGAAAGTTACTGATTTGGTGAGTGAACAAAATGTCAGGTCTCTATAAGATGGTTTTTTCAGCAGAGAAGTCTACAGCCCATAGTCTGTCATGGCTAGAGATGTAATTCATCAAAGCTTGACACTAAATCAAATGACTTTTGCCTTCTCATTTGGTACCCGAATGGTTGAGGAGGAAGTGTATTGATGATGCTGGAGATTTGGCTATATAAATAGATGATCTCCACTCAGGAACCTCCAGTGGGGTGAGAGTACTAGAGCCAGAGACAGCAACAAATTGATAGAACCCAACAGTCCTCTGTACTTAGGGGTCCCTCATCTTGTGGCTCTTGAACCTTGAGTAGTGTGAACCACTTATAATTATATAATCTGCAGCTGGTGTAACCATGGCCTATTTCCTTCTCGCCAAACAGAACCTAGTTATAGTTACCCCCTAGTCCATTGTTTTCTTGAAAATACAGTTCTTCACAAGGCAGTCTGATTTTGAATATTTATCGAGCTACGGCTGCAGTCCAAGAGCTTTTTGCTTCTTCGTTCTACAAGAAACACATTGTTGACTTAAGTGCTGTACTGCCTGTGATGAGACTGTGCAGTTGACAGATCAGCTGCATGGAAAAAAAGAGTACTGAACTTGCTCTGTTAAGGATTCTACATATGCAAATGCATTTGTGCCTTGGTAATGTCTCAAGACATTTAAGAAGTGCAAAGTAAAGTCTCTAATCAAAATATAAAGAGAGGGTTTTGAAGATGGTGCTTATGGGGGAATTGGTAAAATGCAAAAGAAAAGAAACAAATCACTCATTTATTTCGTTTGAAATTAAAGGAGGCTGTCTCGAGGAGTGGAATATGTTGACTTTGTAGTTTCTAAGAATCATCCCACTCCTTTTCTGCAGTTTTCCAAAATTCTAGTCCCAGGCCTAAAAGATGCCACACAAAGACAACTGGTATCTAGTATTCCAAGCTTGCTGGCACTAGGCATGTACTTTTCCAAGCAAGGATGTATTTTTGAACTGGAGACTTTCATTAAAAGCCATAGTTTGGGTGCAAAACTCTGTCCTTGCACAACATAAAACAAAGGATCACACTGAAGGTACTGCTAACCATAAAAAATAGTGTGCCATATGTTAATAAGTGGAAATCACATGTATAATTTACATACTGCCTTTTCAGGGCATTGCTACTTAGGATAGTAATTGTATCTAAAAGAATGTGGCATGTATACACTTGTTTTGAAGTTCTAGTTACACTGGGGTAGAAATAGAATTTGAGGGCTGGCAGTGCAGGCCTTCAGAAAGGGAAATAAAAGTATATATTTTTATAGACAGTTTTATGATTTTAGGACTCAGTTGTGCCACATTAGCCTCTTCCAGGAATGTAAAGTTGCAAGACTGGATAGAAGAGGGTGGCTGAAGAAATAAGAAAGATAGTTCAATCAGTCCCAACAGCCCTAGATGGATTTAATTAATGAAGATGCCTTTGAAAATATATTTTTAGCTCTAAAATGTTAAATGGAGAAATATTTACAAGCAAACTTTCTATGTATTTAACATTTGTGCAATGCTTTGTATTAGAGAAATCAATCTGTTACATGTTTATACCTCTTATTAATTGTTCTTGAGTTGTAGGGACAAAAAGTAGAAACGTTGTTTTATGCCAGAAAAAAATTGTGTGGTATGTAACTATGTATAATGTCAGTGGCCACTGTCCCAATGAAAATGTTTGTATATTTCTGGTTTGGCACATGTGACTTTTATCCATTTTGTAGTAAAGTTTACATGCTAAAGTATGTAGGAAGATGATAATAAAGTCAATGAACTACCTAAGCAAAGGCCAAGAACTAATTCCTGTTGAATGAAGAAATACGAATTATGGATTCACTATTTAAGAAAAAAGCTTTAAGTTGTCCCAGTTCTTGTATTTCACTACAATTAGGTATGATGGGAAGGGTATTATTAGTATTTCTATATTCCCTGCAGTATTCCTTGTATGTTTAAATTGTTGAAAGTAAAGATGGTAGGAGAAACTCCACCATTTCTTGGATGAAAGTACTTCATCTGGCTAAAAAGTAACACACTTCTGGTAGGACTTGGTTGCATTTTATTGATGTAGTCATAGAAAAAATGGAAATTGTTAAACGCCATTATTATTTAAATGGTAGCCATTTCCCTAGCCATATGTCATCTAAGTGAGAATTGAGCAAAGATTTTAAAAATTAGAGGAGGGGTGCTATTTTTCCTCTTTTTCCTCAAGAAAGGGAGGATTAGAGTCTTCTTTATAATTCAGGTTACTGTTTAATTATCCTCATTGATTAGTTGTTGTTATTCAAAAAATAATATTGAAGGGACTTTGTTGGGGGGGAGTGTCCAAGAAGACTAAACACCGGAAGATTTTATTCAGTAAAACCTTGTATCCCCATACAGCCTACCACTTCTGTACAGACAAGGGATGCACCATCCTCATTTCACATGACACAGAAACCCAAAATGAGTAACTAGCCCTAGTGGATTGTCGTGTCACGTGAATCGTACTGCTTGTGTCTTCTTTTAGGGCAATGAGACACCCTGACAATTCCTTGTTTGTTCCAGGGGTTAGGGTTTTACCAAGCTCACCCGGTCATAAGTGGCACTTTTACTGAGCTTCCCTGGATTCAGGTGGCATAACAATCACTTGCTCACTCTCTGGTGTTCCGATTGCAACTGCTTTTGCAGTCATAATCGTGTTTTTCCCCATTATACAGAGATCCCTTTTTTTGGAAAAGTGGCAAACCAATGAGTTACATGGACACTTTGGAGAGGCTATCACTAGCTGTCATTTTGCAGATCACAAAAGTGGAGGAAGCCTGGGAACCACAGAAGGGGGGGCGGGTGATCACAACAGGATGAGGAGGCAAGATGGGTTTTGCTGTTTGGGTCCCTGGAATACTTGCAAGAGTACCAAGAGAGAAGCCAGGTGACAACCCATAGTGAGTCCAATCATCTATCAGGTGCAACATAGGTTGTTCTAGAAACGACTCACATTATGTGGCTGTGTCATGCAAACTCACCCATTTTGTCCTCCTTTAATCAGCAGGTAGGCTGGATGGGGATATGGGAAGCACATACAAAAGGTGCCCTTTTCCAGTAACTACTTAGGGAACAGCTTACCTGACAGCAGAAGGAGGGCTACCAGTATGTGCAATTGCTCCATGGACAACTGCTAAAACCACAGTTTTGATCTAACACCATATTTTGCTTCATATTATTACATACAAACTATGTTTTTTTTATTTCTTTGCAACTATATACTATTGGACTGGCTGTATTTGTATTCATAGAAGTATTCCAACTTTAATGAACAATTCTGCTTTAAAAGCACAGGGAGTAAGGGTGAGCATGTCAACAGTATACACATATACATTCCCCTTTTAAGGGTGTTTCTGCCTTCTAGAAATAGCAAAGAACCAAAAAACTTGTGTGCAAGTGACACAGCTTCCAGATGAAATTACTTCCTTGTTTTGTGGGAGGAAGGTAAACAATTCTGTATGCTTAATTTGAAATGTTGGTTCTATTCTCTCTTATAGAGTATCTGTAAATGAGGAGGAATGCTTGGGGGAAATCGGTGCCTATCTAGGGAAACCTGGAAGACCAGGTGGACCTCAGGTTCACCACCCTTGTCTTAGGAATTGACATAGCTAGAGTGGGAAAAGAAAGGAAGAGGGTAGCAATAGGTTTATTTTAAGTCTGTAAAAGGATATTAAGGATGATGACAGACAACTGAAGTGTTGATTAATGTAATCTCTTCCAGCACCACCCCTCTATGAAGAGACCATCCAGTAATCACTAAAGGCAGAAATTGGCCAAAAAGGGTTTTTCTTTGGAATAAGGTAATTAGGTGGGCTGGCTGTTCAGTTTGCTTGTGAACCCATAATTTTACCCTTATCTGACTCAGAGTTTGGGACTCTCAGAAAGCTTAGAGAATACACCAATCTAGAAACTAGACAACAATATTATCTCTTTTAAACAAGAACGTAACAATAACTGCAAAACTCTGAACTTCACACAGCTACAACTTAGTCCACCCAGGGACTAAACTATATGCTGATGCTATCCACACAAGGGTATAGATGTGGATCACTGTACATGGCAGTGAGTCCCAGGGAAAACAACGTGGCACATTGCTTAACAACTCAAAGACAGATGGCAGACAATAGTGGCTAAATGCGGCCATGCATATTTTTCTTTAGTTTTAAAAATGCTGTGAGCCAGGCAGATAGTTCAAAATATTATCTAGCATTCAGTCATACTTGTGCATCTTCATTAAGAAGTGAATACCATTGACCACATAAGGTTTAGGAAGTGCTTAATTGTAGACCCTTGATCTATGTTTTATAGCATCAAGTCTATGTGAACAGATAGGAGCTGAAATAGGCTGAAGTACAGAACAATTGACCAGGTTCTGGTCCGGGATCTTTACTAATATCACTGAGTCAATGCAATTTTGTTTCCTCTCAAAACATTAAGACGATATCATCCTTGACTGAATGAGTCAAGGCTGATTTCACAAGATCAGTTAGTTTAACAGGATAGAGTCGCTATGATCCATTGCCTTTTACATCTGGACCATCTGAGAAAAAAGCCTATTTAATGGTTTCTTTTAAGCATTAATGACACCTAACAGTAATGCCTGTTACATGTGGCCTGGGAACCTCAGAAGGGGTGGTGATCGTGGCAGGAAGAGGAGACAGGATGGGTTCTGCTCTGTGGGTCCCTGGAATACTTGCAAGAGGACCAAGGGGGAAGCAGGGAGGCAACCCATAGTGGTCCCAATCATCTATGAATAATGGTATGAGCCACAGAAAGAGTAAACAAAACTTTATTTACAGAAACAGACTACAAGATTGAGCATGAAATATTAGATTTGCATGGTGGAGACTGAGATAGTGAAGTCAGGTAAAGAGGAGAAAGGATTACATTGAACTGCATATGGAACACACAGAAGTTCAATCAGAACGTCAAAGGTATCATTTAATTTATGTGCTGCGATAGAAGTTCAGTTTAATTGATTTGAAGTGTTTGTTCATTTCCCCCTGCCCCATCACCATATAAATATTCCTCACTCCATGATGGTGCCCTTGGCAGCTTAGCTTCAGTGAGATAGTTCAAATTCAAGAGACCACCTAGAGAGAAGCAGACCAATTAGACCAGAGAGATGGAGTAAAATAAATTACCCTGAACTCCTTTTCATAGAGCAAATGCAATCTTTCCAGCTATGAGTGTTTTTCTTTAGGCAAAATATAATGGGCCATGCTTTTATATAACAAGGCCAGGCAAGTTTATTGTCTCTGAGACAATGGGAAAATCTACTGGAAAGGACTTAAATTTCTTTTCAGTTCAGTGGAGTTTAGCAAGTGATTGAGTTGCCTCATTGACAATAAGAGACATTATGAAATGGAGGTGTCAGGAATATAGGACTGAGTAGTTTGATGTTTGCAGCACTGAGTTTGAAGTGGGGTTGAGGGTAGAATGCCCATGTTATCATCTACTAAATTGGGATGTTCTGAAAGATGAGGCAACCTTGTAAACGAAGATTCTAGCATGCCCTGAGCATGTCTATTCTACAGATAAAGTATTTTCCCTTCGCCATCCCAAACCATTCAAATACTGCCCCTTTTGCAAGTTGATCATTCTCCATGATACGTAATGGAGCTGCCATCTGCCTTGCTCAATGCTGCATTCTTTGACAACGTGGCTTTGCTCTTTTAATGTTTTTGGGAAAGGAGCAGCATAAATGAAAGAGAACAACTCCTGGATCTGTTTGTGGCTGAGGCACCATATACAGCCATGTCCTCAAAGGACACTGAATGAATAAAAATGTGGAAACTGTGTGCATGTAAACCACATAGGAATTTGGTTATCTGTTACATCTTCTGCCCACCAAGAGATTATGGGCAGAAGCCTATAAAAGTTTAGTCATAACAAATGTCTACAACTCCAAGCATGCTGTCTAATACTTTACGGGTATTTCACCACAGATCCACACGCTTGGTCAAAAATTGGGGAGGCAGAGAAGCTACTCTTTGGTTACACATGAAGATACTAAATCATAAGGTGACCCTTCTATATATGTTTTCAGAACATTAAACTAAGAATGCTGTGAATGGATAAACATGTTAATTCATTATCACTTAGCCTGGTGGCATGAACACTGGCTGGGTTCACATGTCATGGCATGCAACCCTGCATGGTTTCCACAGTGCACAGGGTGGCTTTTGTATTTTTTTGTCCTGGATGTGCCTGGCAGATGATCCAGTGGTTTCTATGCTAACATGGTTTCCATGTTCTGCACTCAGCCCTCCTACTGTTGGCATGTATTCCATCAGCCAGCCACTGTGCCTAAAATTCGGTCCTGTGTTAGACAGCTGGAGCAGCTAATTCAACTACTGCACTTTCCAGGAAACTGTGGTAGCTACATACCATAATAGTGGAAACCACAATGCATGGCTCAGGTAATGGGAGAAACCATAGTAAAGTACAGAAACCACAGAGCAGACCATTGTTTCTCATTGCGGCTTCTAAAAATCAAACATGCCATGCTGAGATTTCATGACAGGGTTCAGATGAAATAAGAGACCATCGTGTGTAAGAAATTACCATGGCTTGTCATGTCATGCAAACCTGCCCACTGCCTGAAGCAGACAATACCAAAGATATCCAGGTATTTTGGACAAGGCAGTTACAGCAGGGCAAAGGAAGCAAGACTATCTTCCCGCACAAGTATATTCTACCACCACCAATTGCTGTAGTCCTTTTTGGAATTGGAAAGGATGGCTCATTTTTCCCTACAA